TCTAGCAATTAATTATGCACTGATGATGTGTGCATCAAGCACATACGGTTTTCTGAAGAACAACTGTGAATTACTTGGAAATAAGTTTCGACTTCACATCTATACTTGAACTCAGAACAATTTTTAACATAATGCTTTTACATACTTCAGCTGTATAGTAATCATTGATCACAACTGGTAATAAATTTCACTTCAGGGATGGGAGTGGGAGCACAGCGGATAGGGCACTTGTCTTACACATAGATAATCCAGGTTTGATCCCCCACATTCCATTCCCTCAAACCTCACTAGAAGCAATCCCTGAGCACAGAGCCTGGAGTAAGCCTGATCATAGCCAGGTACGGCCCAAAACCAGAAAGAAGAAATTCCACTTCAGTCACTTACAAAGCACCAAAATTTCTCTTTAGCATATGAACAATTCAAGATGTATGTATGTATGGTCTGCCCAAACTTAGTCACAAAGTGTTCTATCATGTTTCTTTCCTCTGAGTCCCTATTTCTCAGAACTGCCTTGACACAATCTAACACTTTACCCTTTCATGATCCGCTTCCAAATTCACTGTATCCAAGAGTCTTTGCCAAGCTATACATTTTCAAACCTCAATTTTAAGACTGCCCCAATACTCCAAATGCAGTGAACAGAAGGGAATCACATGAGATGCACATTAAAACCCTTAGTTTTCTACTTATCCCTCAAAAGCTGAGAACCATTTAAGAACACTTTTGAAGAAAGTCACCAGAAAGAAGATATTTGATTACCAGGTCTGTGTAAGTTTATATTAGGTCTTCTGTTACATAACTCTTTGGGGGCAGGTCAAAATCCCTACCTCCTAAATTCTATTTCCAGGAATTTCATTCGTGCATTTATTTTCTGTCTCTATTTTCTGTCTCCATGTCAACAGGAAGAGAAGAAGCCTAAGGTCAGGGCTTTTTAAAGCAAGTATTTCAACAATGACCTCAGCAATAAATTTGGGGTGGTGGAGGGGTGTTAAGGAGAACCATACCCTTTGGTGCTAAGAGACTACCTAGTTTGGTGCTCAGGAATCACTACTGGACTACATCCAGGTCATGCCTGCAAGGATGTGGGAGGCTTACTGGGCCATCTCTCCAGCCCCAGAAATAAATATTTTTGAAGCTGAGCAGAGTTGACAAAATTTAATTTTTTCCAATATTATTCAGATTTCTTCCTCATGACAAAGGGAAAAAAAACCTTTTTTTTAGTGGAGGGCAAGAGGGTTAGAGTGCGTACCTCTCAAACAGTACCTAAGGGCCACTCCCAGTGATGCCTGGCCTGGCTATTTGGACGTGAAGGGTCAATTCTCAACCCCAGATGTGCTGGGAGCCACCAGATCATCTGGCAGCAAGGCAGACCCTTCGGCCCTATCTCTACAGCCAGAAATGTCAAACTTCTTATGTGCAATTATTTCATTATGGTCATGATGGAGTATCAAAGACTATATTTATCTTTTCCCAGGGAAAAGAATGAAAGAAAGAGAACAGACAAAATATATGAAAGCAAGTTTTCTGAAACAACAAGCAACAGTGGAGTGCAATTCCTAGAATTCCAAGATAAGTGAAGCCTTATGATTGCCTTCTTACCTGCTAGGACAGTTTTCAGGGCCTGGCAAAGGTGGTAAAACTCAGAGAGAACCAAGTACAATTTCTGAATTAGGAGACAGAGCTGTAGTACAATTTCTGAATTAGGAGACAGAGCTGTAGGTCTGAGACCTGGTGGGTTAGGTTCCACAGAACAGAGGGCCACAAAGGTAAGAAATACACAAACACAATATGTGGACATGCCCGGGTACACTGGGCTGGAGCAATAGAACAGTGGTAGGGGTGTTTGCCTTGCGCACAGTAAACCAGGCCAAGCCAGGTTCGATTCCTCCGCCCCTCTCAGAGAGCCTGACAAGCTACCGAGAATATCTCGCCCACGCGGCAAAGCCTGGCAAGCTACCTGTGACGTATTCAACATGCCAAACACAGTAACAACAAGTCTCAAAATGGAGACGTTACTGGGCCCGCTTGAGCAAATCGATGAACAACAGGAGGACAGTGTGACAGTGTGTGACAGCTCAGGTACGCAGAGAACTGAACACAGAGAAATAATGACTAAGCAGAGAACACTATTTGCATAGGTCTAAGAATGGTACCCGTACCCACCAGCCAGAATGGAAAACCTCTTGTTTGAAAGCACACTGGGCAGAGTACACAAAGGGTCTTGCCTTAGTCAGAAGGAATAATAGCCATAGGCTGGTGCACTACTCCAGAACAAACACTTTTTAAGAAACTTAACTACATTCCAGAGCAAAACTCAAGAATATTTACAGAAAAGAGTCAAGCCCATGATTAGATTCCAATGTCTGGATTCCAAAAAAATATTATCAGACGTGCAAATAGGCAGGGAAATATAACAAGAACAAAGACAAATCAATTTAATTGGTATTGACAAAATGTTAAAATTATTACACAAAGCCATTAAAATGTATTATAACTAGGGTTGGGGAAATAGATCAAAGAGCTGGAGAGATGTTTTGCATACAGGAGGCCTAGGTTTAATTCCTGCCCCCACCAAACCCTCATCACGTAGCCCCCTGAAGAGTTAAGAAGACTCCCAGCACTGCCACTTGGTGTGGAGCAAAAAAAAAAAAACAAGAGTGTGGGAAGGGGGGTGGAGGAGTGGAGGGAAGACCACAAAAATCTAACAATGACCTGTAAACCTAGCCTTTCATACTCAAGAAGTTTGGGGGGCTTTGTTGTTATTGTTGGTGGTGGTGGTAGTGGTGGTTGGTGGTGGTGGTGGTGGTGGTGTGTGTGTGTGTGTGTGTGTGTGTGTGTGTGTGTGTGTGTGTGTTTGAATTTTGGGCCATATCCAGTGATGCAGGTGGCTTATTTCTGGCTCTGAGCTCAGGAATCACTCCTGGTGGGCTAAAGGGACCATATGCGGTATGGGGATCAAATCCAGGTTAACTATATGCAAGACAAGACCCCTACCCACCAAACTATCACTCCAACCCCTCTCAGAAATTTTTTTTTTAGAAAAGGATTTAAATGTACAAGAGCAACCCTATAACGCATGAACTTTCATAAAGGAAAAAATTTATCGCTTGGGAATTTGGAACTTAACAGCAAACCAAAACACATCAGAAATAGAAAATACAGAGTGTATTTTTATATTAATTCATTTCTTATTATTCTGATATATTATAAAAGATAATTATTAGTCCAGAGAGGTAACATAGGAGTTAAGGCACTGAATGTGGCCGACCCAGATTTGATCTCCAGCACTGAATATGTATGGTCCCCAGCAATGTCAAGGGTCTCCTGAGCACAGCACCAGAAATAGCCCCTGAGCACCTCCAGATGGATTGGAGTCACCCAATCCAAAAGGAAACAAATGATAACTGACTATTAAAATAACAATGGGGTATAAAGTTCATAAGATATATTTAAGAAAAGGCATGACTCACTCAATTATAAGATGTATTTAAGAAAATGCATGACAAGGAACTGCAAAGAAATGGAAATGTACTAATCTGAAATTCTTACACTAGTATTGAAGTAGTATGAGATCAATTAAAGGTAGAACATGATAAGTTTAAGATATATATTATGAGCCTAAAACTTCCAGAGCCTGGGGCTGGAGAGATAGCACAGCGCGTTTGCCTTGTACGCGGCCAACCCAGGTTCGATTCCCAGCATCCCATATGGTCCCCTGAGCACCGCCAGGAGTAACTCCTGAGTGCAGAGCCAGGAGGAACCCCTGTGCATCGCCGGGTGTGACCCAAAAAGAAAAAAGAAAAAAAAAAAAACCTTCCAAAGCCAAGAGTATGCTCTGAGCACTGCCAGATATAGGCCCCCAAACAAAAAAACAAACAAGAAAGATAAAATCATGCAATTTGCTGCTATTTGGATGAATCTGGAAAATACAATGCTGAGTGAAGTTAGTCAAAAGGAAAAGGGCACAGGATGATTTCTCTCATCTGTGGGTTATAAAGAAACAAAGTACGGGTATAACAAATGCCAAAAGGCAAAAGAAACTAAGGATGGGTCTTCAATAGGAAGTTTACCACTGGGGAGTGACTGGGGGACTGAGGATTATGACAGGATGAATGGACCCTGGGACACTGATGGAGGGAAGCGGACATTCTGGGGGAGAGTGTGGTGCTGGATTGTGTTATACATGAAACCTGATCATTATCAGTACTGCAAACCACAGTGCCTAAATTAACTTTTTAAAAAAAATTCAAAAATTACAGATCACCATTTAATAACTTAAGTTATATCTATTATAATTTTTACTGTGAGTAAATACAAATAACCCTTGAACAACAGGGGTCTGAACTATCTGGGTCCAGTTAAAATTAATTCAGTTGTAAACAGGTGTCAATAAGGTGTCAATAAATACAGCACAGTAATTTATTTATTTTCTTACATTTCCTTGGAAACACTTTAATCTTTTCTTTTGGTTACTTTATTGTTAAGACCACAGTGCCTGATCCCTATCACATCCATCCAAACTATATTAACTATGTTCTTGATAAGGCTCTGTCAGTCACAGGCAACTAGTAATTAAATTTGTGAGGAAATGCAAGCATTACAGAGATTTCTGATGCTTATGGGTCAGCTTCTAGAACTTCTACATTTTTTGAGAGGGAGATGGCATATACCAACCCCCATATTCGAGCCTGGCATGACATGCCCCCATGCACACAAGCCCCACTGGGTGTAGCCCTGGAGGCCCTCAAGCAAGAGTGGGCTCAAGGGGCACCAGCACTGGACCTGAGCAACACTGCCTCAACTGGTCCCACGCACTGAACTGTCTGGCCAAGTTATAGCATCACCAGGAGCAGTCCCACGGCACACTGAGCACTGCTAAGGAGGCCAACAAGAAAGAAAACAAGTCGAGTGTACTTAAATTTTAGACTTTGGCACCAATGCTATATTATCAGTTAAGAGTTTAAGATAATTGCAGAGAGCAAAGCTGTCATCTCACTCACCTATTTTGTTCCTCCAGTTTAGCCAGCAGTTCTAAGTCATCTGGACTCAGCTGGGAGGGGGAAGCCGGAGAAAGGGCTGGTGTGGACAGTGTGGTGGAAGAGGAAGTGGTATGTAATGACGGAGATGGACTCGCGACCTGACTGGCCATCTGACTGACTGTGTGTGATACGGTGTTCTTCACCCATGAGAGAGTAGAACTCAGCTTTTCTGCAACCTTGTCTGTCGCCACCTAGAGATGAAATAGAAGTTGCAGGCATTTCAGTTTAACAGCTCATTACCAAGATCTTGATAACCCTGCTGAACTTTACTAACACAATGAAAAATATTCTGTGAGGGGATAAAGGTAAAACCTGTTTTGGCAATCACTATCCTAAGACCCAGCTTTGGAAACTTAATGTCCATTCTGCAGCACTGACAAATTAGAAGAGTACTTTCCAAATTACAGGCTACATTACACCATCAAATTGAGGTTCAATAGGTGGTAAGGATAGGGAAATACAGCATACATGAGTAAGCAACAAAAATTGGTTTTCTTAGCATAAGATACAATAAGACCCATGACCTATTTCTTCTAACCACTAAACAGTATTTTTTTTGTAGAAAAGGGACTAAGTCTAGTAAAACAGAGGATAAATAGTTCAAAAAGAAATTAAGAACCAAAAAAAAAAAATTAAGAACCATTTTCAAATAGAACTATCTAGAATTAGAATGAGATACCTACATAAAATAGACATTTCCTACCATAGTTTATGACAAACTGTCATTTTAAGAGTTAATTATAAATACTTGGCTGAAAATGAGTTTTAGATAGCAATCTGAACTAGAAAAGCCTTGAAAATTCCTCCCATCTCTAAGATCCAAAAAATTACACTTGTCCAAATATTCATCATAAATCACACCACACTAGTAAGCAGATCTGTATACACAAATTCACATAAGACAAAATGTACATAAACAAATATTCAAACAAGGCATTATCCCTTCAGTAATGATGTTTTTCAGTAACAAATGATACAACTGAGGACAATAACCATATTTGAATATCTACATAAAATTAAACATTCTCAATGATAATATGACTGTATAAAATAAGAACAGGGTTCTATGTATGTATGTTGCTAGTGTATTTCAAATGCCATACATTGGGATCCAACCCAGGACCTCATACGTGTGAAGAATATATTCTGCCACCATGCCATACTTCAATCCCAAGAATGGTTTGTTTGGTTGTTGTTGTTGTTTTCCTAAGGGATTATATTCTTTTTGAGTCAGCATAAAAAGTCTCTTGACTGTGAATTTCTTAGACATATAAAAGCTAAAAACAACAAAGTGCTTGTTGTGCTTTGAAAATTAGAACTAGAAAAAGAAGGAAAAAATCAAAGAAAGAAAATTAGAGCCAGAAAGAAAGGATAGATGGGGCAAAGACACTTGCCTTGCATGTAGCTGACTTGGCTCAAACCAGGCACCACATATGGTCCCCTGAGAACTGCCAGGAGTCAGAAGTGGTATCTGTGCACAGAACCACGAGTAAGCCCCAAGAACTGCAGGATGTGGTCCAAAAAACAAAACTAAAAATAAAATTTAAAAATTTTGAAAAAAAAAAGACAAAATTTTTGCAATGAGTAAATGGCTAATTCACTACACAATATTTTCAAATCAGCATATTCTCAGCTAATCTTGACTACGCACAGCAAATCATACACTCACCAAAACACCAGTACCTAAACACACTATCTTACCCAGACTAGCTTAACAGACTCCATTATCCTAATGAGTAGTCCAAGGCTTTTCTCCTCACCTCAGGACATTCATGCTTCTCTTTCTATCCCTCTGCCCCCATTCTTCCTAAGCTTGCAGGAAAAGTCAACACAGGGAATGTACAAAATTGAAAAGAGATTATAAAATCATAAATAAGTCAATCAAGCTGAGGCTAGAACTTCTCACTGTCACTCACTGTCCTCCCATTGTTCATCGATTTGCTCGAGCGGGCCCAGTAACGTCTCCATTGGAGACTTTTGTTGTTACTGTGTTTGGCATATCGAATAGTCATGGGTAGCTTGCCAGGCTCTGCCGTGCGGGCGAGATACTCTCGGTAGCTTGCTGGGCTCTCTGAGAGGGGTGGAGGAATCGAACTCAGGTCGGCCATGTTGGCTGCGTGCAAGGCAAACGCCCTACCACTGTGCTATCGCTCCGGCCCTAGAACTTCTAATACAACAATTTTGTTACAATTGAACGGGAGAGCTTTATTAACCAAAGTATCTTGGAATCTCAAGGATACTTAATTTTGACTAATTTTCACATTTCAATACTTACTACCCTTGTGGTTGGTATTAAACTAGGGACTGAGGACTCTTTTTATTGAAGGACCATTCCCTAAGAAAGAGCAACAGGGTGAAGTATGGAGTCAAATGGAAAGAAACAGAAGCAGATCATTTCAGTCTCCAGACATGGCCTCACTAAACCAGAGCACAACAGTTTCTCAGTGCAAAAGGTCAACAGGAACCAGTAAATACTGAACCAAAATTCCCCTTGTACCAGGAAGTAAAAGGAGCAACAGTAGACAAATTAGTCAACTATGACTTGTTATCCTAATGATCAACTCTACACCGTAAGTTCAATTACGAAGAGAGCACTCGTTCATACCCACAAAGCACACTGTATTTGTAAAACAGGAAATCAAACAGTAACTTGTAAGAAAAATGTTACCCTTTACTAATACTGAACATTAATTTAAAGAACTTTCATAAATTAATGCCTTACATTCCCATTTTATAAAAAAAGTTAACTCCTTTATTCAAGTTAACTATTGCAAAAACTAGACATTGAAAAAATTATTCTTAAAAAATTAATTTAGAGGCCAGAAGAATAGTATAGTGGATAGGGCAATTGCCTTGCATGTACCCGATGCCTGGTTCAATCTGTGGCATCCCATATGGTCCCCAGAGAACCGCCAAGAGTAATTCCTAAGTGCAAAGCCAGGTGTAACCCCTGAACATTGCTGAATGTGAGTGACCCAAAAAACAAAAATAAATATATAAATATATAAAATTAATCTAGCATACCCTTTCTGCACACTGTAGCAAAAGGCTTCCATTTAAAGAGTTTGAAGTAACAGAGAACATACACCTAATATCCTTTCAATCTCACTTAAAGGAAATGTAATCTGTAAGTCACAATGACCCATCTTCATTTTTACATTATTTAGTATTACTATAATTGGAGTTCTTATTGCAGTTTAATAAAACTGCATTTTACTAAGGCTTAATACTCTTGGTTGCAGGAAAAAAACAAAGAATTGAATTCTTTTCCATATCACCATGCCCACTACTTTTTTTAAAACTCTATTATTCCAAACATCCACCCTTCTGCCTCTAAGCCACGTGCCCTCATCCTACAGTAAATTGAGGGCAGGAAGACATAATATGACCATCCAGTTATGTCACAAAGTTCCTATCTACTTCATAAAGGTATTATGCACTTGCATTTTTAATGCAAACACACTTGAAAATAAATCATTAAAAATAATAAGTAAAGCCATCAAAGGCAACAGAACACGTAATGTATAAAAATCATCTCTGAAAACTTTAGAATACGGGGCCCAAGTGGTAGTACAGCAAATAGGATGCTTGCCTTGCACAGAGTTGACTTGGATTTGTTCCCTACAACCCAGGGAATTCCCTGAGCCTGGCAAGAATGATCCCTAAGCTCAAAGCCATTAGTATGCCAGAGCACAGACAGGTGTGGCCCAAAAAAATCAAAGCAAACAAATTCCTGAATAAGCAATTCCAGAGATACAACTATATTGGTGATTTTGCAGGGCTCAGGACAGGAGGATGGAGATGCAGACGAGGTTTCTTTTGTGATATGATGGGAACATTCTAGGTAGGCTGAGGTAAGTTATAGTGTAAGTTGTTCACAATCTTGTGACTATATTGAGATAAACCGACATATTTTAAGGGAAGTGAATTTTTTATGAGTTCTCAAATTCAAAAGGAATTAGTCAATTTGGAAAACTTAAATAATGCATAAATCTATGACATTCTGAAAATAGCAAAACTAGGGGGATGGTAAATTGATGAGTATGTGCTAATTAAGGTTTAAGTTATTATAGAGGCAGCAGAGAGAAAAACAGAATAATGTAACATTACATTGTGGTGATAGAAACAAATTTATTTATTTCCGGTTTTGGTTTGGGACCATACCTTGAGGTGTTTATTTCCCTGGCTCTGTGCTCTGCATCATTCCTGCTGGGGTTCAGGGGGTCACATGTGGTACCAGGGATTGAAGCCAGGTTAGCCATGTGCAAAGCGAACCACCTACCCACTATCTCTCCAGCACAAAAATTATATTCTGGTTCAACCAGGAGAAGGAGGAAATGCTAAAAGATTGGAAAGTATTATGCATGAAACCTTATCAGCAATAGTTCTGTAACACACACACACACACACACACACACACGTACACGCACGTACACGCACATGTACACAAAGTGTCTCTTGCAGAAGCAGAATGGTGTGTGAGAAGCAAATGAGGGTTGGAGGTAGGGGTCATTTGTGGAGGGAACTGGACACTGGTGAAGAGGGATGAGTGTTGAAACACTTTATGCCTGAAACCTAATCATGAATAACTTTGTAGTTTCACAGTGACTAAATTTTGCTACAAAATTATATTCTGATCAAGTGGGAAAGAACAAAGAGGAAAAGAAAGGGAAAAATCAAAAGTGAAATCTAGAGACCAGAAAGACAGAACAGGGATCAACTTGCCCAGCACACAGTCAACCCCAGTCTAATCCCAGTGCCACACTGTCCCCCAAACATCACAAAGTACAGTTCTGGAGGACCCCTGAGCACCACAGGGGTGTTCCAGGCAATGGCACAGCATCTTCAGGTTCTTGCTTTGAACCACTGTCTGGGTTGTCCAAGAATCTCCACTAGGCCTTCTGAACACCATTTGGGAAACCCCCCCCCCAAAAAAAAAGATGGGGTGGGGGCTCGAGGTGCTGGGTGAGTAATCTATCCTGGCTTGAGCAATTATTGGTGTCTTTTATTGGACTAATGAAACTGGTTTTTATTGAACTAATGAAATTGATATTTATTGTTATTTGGCAAGGGGTGTGGAGTTTATAAAAACAAACTAAGAATGCATTAAATTAAGAAAAAAGATTCAGGGCCAGAGAGACAGTACAAGAGGTAAAGCACTTTTCTTGCATGGGGACAGCGGACACCGTTT